ACTTTTCCACACACCGCCCAGAAGCTATAGATACACCCAGATGTCTCTCTTGGGTGACGCATTTTTGGTTCATTTTCCTGAGGAAATTAGACTTACATGAGCATGCTGAATGCGTGGGTATGGATGCACATGAGTATGTGTCTCTCTGTCCCCTTGGGTGACTGCCCTAAAGTTTTGACTCTACTGATCGATTTCAAGCTCTCTTGGCAGAAAACTTGGTGATATTAAGTTCACACAAGCTTCATGAAAATGGGCAACCAAGTAGAGAGGCAAACTCCTCTGACTCTTCCACCAAGAGAAAAACTACAGAAAGAGCATGTAATTTATCAGACACCAACGAATTTGTGTAAGACAATACGAAAGATCATTTATAAACGCCTCAGAAATGGGAAAAACTTTGGCAAGATCTTGTTGTTCCATAGAAGCAGAGAAGCTCTAAAGAGAGTGTCTGGATGCTGCAGTTAAAGTGTATTACAAATAGTGAGGACTTTAGGACTTATCTCCCTGGCAGGTGTGGCCCATCCTGAGGAAGTCTTAATAGGCAAATTAATCAGGTCGCCTCACTAATGCTGTGTGTGACCATGCAAGTTGTGTTGTGTGTGACTGCTTCAAAGCACAGGCAGGAGAGACAGAGGGTTACTTGCACAGGTGGGCAAGTATTGAATTGCATGAGTTATGTCATTGAATTGAATGAGTTTTTCTTGCCCTTCTCACTTGATGGGAAGGCTGGCCAAAGATCACTTGCAAGCTTAGCTGCATTCTCTGGAAAAAAAAATTTAAAAAACTGTGAAGGTAGAGAGATTTTGAACTAAGAATCCACATAGCCACATGAGACTAGTTGCCACAGAAGTATGGCACTGCTAGGACCAAAAAGAAAATTGAGTTCACTAAGCCATGCATGGACACATCCTGTAGGAGGTCATAGGAAACAAAAGAATGATTAAAACCACTCAAAAACTTTTATTTCCATAAAAAATATTGTTCTAAGAAGAAACACTTCATTCAGATCTCCTGTTCTGTTAGTTTAAGAGTTAGTTTAAAAATTAAGATTGCATTCATGTGGGAGATTTCAACAAAAGGTATATTCTTTTTATTTTCATTACATTTTTCACCAGGAAATTGGCTCTACTGAAAAATTAAAAATACTTTCTCACATGCACATTTGAAAAAAAACAAATCCATCCTTTTGGCTTTCACTCGAAATATTTCAGAACGAGGCCGGTTAGTTTTTCAGCTCTTGCCATTTTCCAGCCTCCTGTAGAGACTGAAGAGATGAACTAAATACACATTTTTTTTTTTTTTTTGGCACAATGTTCTCAAACAGTATTTTCCATCCGCCCCTGGTTTTGGGTGTGTTTGAGTGAAGAAAGGAGGCACAACGGACTGCCCATACGCAGCTCATACGGAGGTGAGGAGGCCTTGCTAGCATTTCCATGCCTGCTAGTCCTTTATCTTGCATCACACGCTAAGGAGAGGCAATGGCAGCAGCCCAGCAGGAAACCAGGGCTCAGCTCTCCCTTACACAAAGCAGCCCTCACAGTCCTTTCCCCATTTGCCATTAATTATCTATTATTGCCCATTTGACCTGCACATAACACTGGTTTACCTCATCCCTGAGGAGCATTTCTGCTTGGCTTCTGTTCATATTCTTATTGTACCACCTGAAAACATCAAAAGATTCCAAGTCAGCATTTCCAGGCTGTTAAAGTTTCAACTGAAAAGCCTCTGGACTGAGAGTTCCAAATGTTAAAGATAACAGTGAATGAGGAGTAGGGAGATTTGAAGCTTGTTGCTTCTGCAACAAATCCAGGGCTTTTAGAAGTACAAGAAAAGTGTAGGCACTACTTACTCATATATTTGCAGATTGTCGGGTGATTTTTCCACCAGGTAACTGCTTGGCACATAGCCTTCATGCCTGTTAAAACGCAAGGAGTGAGTATGCCAGAGAGACAGGATTTTCTCTGCATCTGTGGGAGTCAACTCTGAAAGTTTTTGCCTTTCAGAAGTCTTGCGCTTTGCATGAGATAAATGTTGGTTATTATGTATTTATTTGGGTTGCTGGGAAAAGGGAACAACCAATTGCACTTCTAAACACCCTTAGATCAAGAACTGTGTTTGTAAGGAGGCGCAGCAGTGTATATCCTCCCCAGGCTGGATAAAGAGGAGAACTTATGTACATTTTGGGTTCTCCCTCACTATTCATGTTGAAGATCCTGCAATTCTTTTTCCCCACACATACAACAGTGACTGTCAGCCTGAACTAAGGACCATTCTTTTTAAAATTAACCTTTTATCTCTTTTTCTTCAGCTGTCTGGATAGCAGCAGCATCAAAGGGAAGAACTCCTCATCACTCTTTTTGTTAGCTGCCCCTCATTTTCTCCATCTGTCAGAAGATAGTTCACATATATTATACTAGAGTCCAGCCTATATTTTAATGAAAGTTCAAGCTGGATTTAGAAAGAGTTTGTAAATTTTATATGAAAAAGAGAATTACCCATTTTTATCTTGAATCAGCCACCAATGTTCTTCAGAGTTATCAATGACATAATATTCCTCATTATATTGTAATGTCAGCTCCTGTGGATTCTGGGCTTCATAGTCATATATGGCCAAGACTAAGGCATCCTTTGGATCTAGCAACAACTTCTGCACAAATTAAGAACAAAGCAGATCATATTGAATCAACAGATAATCTCTAAAAAGATATTACATTACCCTTTTTGGTGGATTCAAAAGCCTTAGCATTAGAAAATCACCCCAAAGCGCCTAGTAGGGCATATTGGCCACCCAGGAATTTGTAGCATTACTGAACTTCATGTGGAGATTTGTACTACACAGAAAATAATCTATTCCTTCTCTCAAGCTTAGGGTGCCACTGCTTTTGAACTATTCCTCACAAGCGTTTCCTCAACTTTTCTTAAGAGCCTCTGTCCTAATGCCCAACTGGCCCTACAGTAGGATATCCTGCGGTAACCACCACCTTACTACTCCCTTGTTATTATATAAGCCTATACCTTTTTGTCCCTTCGCAACTGGGTTTGGAAACCACTTATTCTGTTGCTCTTCATAGCAGCTTTTTCAGATTTGAATACTATTTTCATATCCCCTCACCCTCCCAGGTTTCCCTTCCTGTGAATAGAACGAACCAAACAACATCTTGAAACTTCTGTCACTTTTGGGGAGCCCCACCTCACTTTCTGTAAAAAACAAAACAAAACAGTGGGATGCTGCTAACTTATAGCTTATGAAAATGTATAGAAAAGGTAAGAGAAAAACACAGGGAATGTCATCACACATAATACTCCAGGTCAGTAAACCATGATGAACATAAATGAGGATATTTCCCTGACAGCTAGTTAAAAACATAGGATACATGGAAAGCTTCTCATGCTGCACTGTACTCACCCAGTTATCTTCAGGAGTGGGAGGAAGAGGTTTCATTGAAGCTGTAATGAAAACAAAAAGTTAAGTTGAAGTAGATTTGGACAAAACTAGAGGACAAACCATCAGGTCATTTTATAAATGTGATACAAAAATCATGAATAATAAGTCTTAGCCCTCTATGGCATTAAGACATGCCAATAGTTGGAACCTACACAGTGTCTGTCAGCCACACAACATGGAAACTGATGTACAAATTACCCAAGGAATCAACGAAATACCAGGGAAAAATGTCTTGGGTAAGAAGTGATTGATTTCTGTAACTGGCAACATCTTACATATTTTTCAGGAGACATGTAAAGATTAAGCTTGGCCATTGAGATCACACTGGAAATACGGTGAGGACAAAATAGGACACACAGGGGAGAACCTATCTTAAGAAATTTATTATTCTGATTTATTAATTGACCACATCTGATCAAACTCTTAATTTTTCATATCCTTGAAAGATGATATAAAAATGATGCAGTGAGCATCGCAAACAGGAAATTGTTAATTCAAAGCAAAGAATACTATATAAAGACGAGACAGTATAAGGAATGTCCTGGAAATCAGCAGTGTCTATCCTGGCGGAAATGTAACATGATATACTTCAATGCTTTGTGTGAGACAGACGTAATCCTTTATTAGCTTAGAATAAATATTTTTAAGGTTAGGATGCTCAAAATCCCATACCGTTTTTGGTGGGGTCATATTCTACACAGCCAGCTGCCATCTTCTCTGTCTGATCACAGCATCTCCACTTCCCATCCATCCAAAAATTTGGATGATACTTTTGAACCAAACTGTTGTTGTTTTTGGTTTCTGAAAAATGTTAGAGGAAGAAAAAGAGGACGAAAATGTATTTATTTGCATTGACGTCAGCTCTGAAAGAGACATGTAGAACTGAATGGAAATAATCTGCAATTTAAAGAAGCTTCTTTTTCTTCTCAAGACAGGCTTTGATGAATTCTTTCAGGCCCCATTGTTAATGTTCTATTTTCTCCTGAAAGGAGTGAAATCATCATCAGTGTGGAGGAAGAGTCTGCCTGTTGCTGATGGAGCTCAGTGGGAGAATAGAATCCTACCAAAGCAGCTATCTCTTTAAGTTTTTAAACATGGAAACCATAGAAGAAAAAATTATATGCTATGTATTGATGATGATTCTCATAAAATACTTTAGTTCTACTGTATGTGTATATAGGTGTGACACAGATACTCACTGCTTGACTTGGCTTTTGGAAGGAGCTGTACAAGTTGGCATTCACTGGATCTAAACATTTTTACATATGTGAATGCCAATCTTGAGTGTCTGTATGAACAAATAAAAAATAAAAGTCCTGTTTTTGGATTACAGGTTCTCACTCAATACTAATCATTCCCCTAAAATGAAAAAAGAAATTCCTGCTCACCTGGTTCAAGAGACTGTTCAAGTTATACAAAAGAAGGACAGTCTCCAGAAAAGGCACACTCCAGAAAGAAACTAAATGGTTATAAAAGTGCAGGAACTTCATTAGGCAAAATGTTTTCAGAATGAATAATATACCAGCTCGTTATGAAAAAGGAGAAAGCTATATAGGGAACCTGGTGCAATTTTCATGTAACTGAATAACACCTTCCTCGTGCCAAGTGCTTCACTTTGCAAGCAGTGGTTAGCTATTGTACCTTCACTTCAGAACCATCGTAATGAACCACAGCGTAATTCAAGAGGTGAACAGGAAATGAAAGCTACCCACAAAAATGTTTCTTAATAATCATGATTCTCTAAGAAGGTTGTCAACTAAACAAAGTATCTATTAATTAGAACTAAAATATCTTCTACACAACAGAATTATATAATATAAACAAGAATTACTTAATATACAACAAGAATTATTTAATATAAAATAATTAGCTGAATTAAAAAACTCATCTCTTCCTGAATAAGAAAATCTCAATTTATAGGAACATACTAAAAGTTTATCCTAAAAAGATGAAAATAGAGAATTTCATAGTTCCAATATGCCCACAAGATTTGCAAACATACTTGATTTCATAACGGCCTTCTAATCATCATTTTACATGCTCCGATATAAGATACTGACTCCTCAATCTGTGCATTTTCTCTGCACTGTTAGCTGTTGAGAAAACTAGACTTGAATAAGTAACTTCATCAATTAGATGGTACTGAAGTTTTGTTACCTTCCTTCAGAGTAAAGACCCATCTCTGACGGCTCTCACGATTGGGTGCAAATACATAGAGTATGTGGTTATCATGGACAATCTGTAAACAGAAGGAAAGAAGAAAGTGAACCATTAGGCAACTGCTGAAAGAAATAGGTAGTAGCCTCCAGACCAAGAAATTATGAACAAAGTGACGATATGGGCAAGTGTAATAATCAAGGTCTGTCCAGAAGCATCTCACAACCTTGGTGAATTTTAATATTTAAAACTGAGTGGAAACCTTGATCAAGAATGGGTTCTAAACAAATACTGTTTTAGATCATCTTTATGCTATTAAGAAATACCTTTGAAATTAATTGGGATGTAGCAATTTTAATCAGCAGAGATTCAGCCTATTACTTGCTGATTGTGGCTTATTCTTCCAAAGCATCTCTGGGAAAACAGTGACTGTCTCTTAGCCCCCAGAGAGTTGATCAGGGTTCATTCAGGTACAAAAGAAGCTAATTTTGGCTCACAAATTTAAGTAACAGAATCTTTCAAGAAGTGGCTATGTGGATTGCTAAGGATTTTCTTCAGACTTTTTAATAGCTTTCAACCTAGGTTTGTAGAGGAGAACTAGGAGGCGAGAGCAGAGGAACAATGAGCAATCAAGATTCTATTTTCATAAAGTTGTCCTTAATCATGAACAAACGTAGGAAGAGAAACAGAACATTTGTGAAGTTTCACACCAGAGAGTAAACATCATCACGAGAATGAAAAAGACTCAGAAACTTAGCTGAATATTTGTGTCTAAAATTCAAAATAATGCATATTTTGTATTTCTCTTCCAATACGTATCTCAATAATTTAAATGTGACCAGATGCACAGATGCATTAAGAAACTTTGGCCATTGTCTTTAAACAGCGGTCTCTACAGGAAAGTTTTTTAAAGTCCCCCAAATAGCATAGATGGGGCAATGATGATTATCAGCGAAAGAACAGGAAATATTTGCTGTGTTTTGGATTGAAGCCCTTGCAGGCAGACACATACAGCCATGTGACTCAACAGCTTTGTTTGCTACAGAGGGAGATAAATCATACCTCTTAGAAAAAGTAAAAGAGAGGAATAATTTCCACTCCTTTAAACCCACCACTGTTGATACTGTTACAGCGGTATTAATGTTGCTCTTACTTCTGTGCTATAATGTTTGAGAATCCAAGGTAGATTTTGAAACCTGCAGTAAGCAGATCTCCAAAACATGTGGCCACGTGTATGTATGAATGCACAAAATCACCCATCTCATTCTGCTCTGCAAGGGGCTGACTTGTCAGAGGTGCCACACACAGAAAACAAACAGGTTATTCTGTTACTGCCTGCGCTTTGGTGGTTCCACAGATTTATAGCTGGTGCAGCTGAAGTATTTAAAAATAGATAATACCTTCTTACAAAATACCACAAAATTGTCTCCAGGACAAAATTCAGACAAGTTACAAGCAGGCACGATTCCCTTGACCTCTGTGGAGCTCAGTCCATCACAGCTGGTCAGTTGTTACCACTTCATCACCCTCACCTGCTACTATAGCTTTATTATTTTATTTATTTTTCTCCTAAAAGCATTATGACTAAATTGGAAAATGCAGACAGAAAAAACAGATCTGAACATTTCTTCCTTCACAATTGTGTTTTTACTCAAGGAATCTGCGTTTTAGTGTGAGAAGAGAGTGTGAGACCACATTTCTGTTTTTATGGCAATAATAAACTAGAAATCATGTTTCCACACCTGTAGCTATCACTATCCTCTTCTTGTTTTTAAGCAATCTCATCACTGAACGTCTTCCCTGTTCATTTCTGGACCAGTATCCTTCATACATCCCATTTACCAGTTTCTGACCTAAAGGCCACTAAACATATTTTATTTCACAATGAAATAGGTAAATTGGCCAAAACCCCTGTGAAAGATGTGCTTTACCTAAACATAATTTCCTGGGCTCAGTGATGACTAGCTCATGTGGGATAGCTGAATATTGTGTTAAACTTGGGATAAGACTAGAAAATTTAGTGATCCTTTCCAGTAAGTATTAGAATTTGCAGAACTTGTGATAACATTAAGTCTCTGATTTTCCAATTAATTTCAAATCTCGGTTCTGATTTTCTTTCACCTGTTGCTACTCCATGATGTTAGAGAGAGAATTCTCCTAAACTACAAAATAAAGTTGTCAACAGTATGGTCAACAGACTCACCTGAAAGGGGTATTTATACTGACAGGGAATAATGATGTCACTTTTCACAATTTCCACACATTTAATCCTGGAAAGTTCAACATAACCCTTCAATGTTCTTTTTTTCTAAAAGACAGAAAAAAAAAACCCACTTAGTTAATGCTAATGATTCTGTATTAAATGAGTAGTTAGATAAGCCTGTCATGTCCCTAAGAGATTTTTCATGATTTCAATGGAGCAGAAGCAATTTAATTAATTATATAAGACATTTAAAAGTATAAAGAATCATTCTTATATACCAAACATCTATATGGATTGAACATACATTTATACACATACTTATATTCCATCTCAACACATTAATTTTAGAGAATCAGTCAAAATATCTGGTTGAAATTCTTTTTCTCCCAACAAAACCCATTTGAACCAAACAGAACTATTTCCATTAAATTCTGAGTTTATCATCATTCCTGTTTCACACTGACAAGACAGTAAATATCATATTTTTAGAAAATATTTGGGTAATTAGGTTTTCAAAACACTAAGCAATTCATTAGAATATAACATTCTTACTGCATCTATTTTTTTCCAAGAAACAAAACACTTCTCTGGTTTTCACCTGTCTGGGTTTTTAGCTAAGAAAATAAGAGGAAATTTTGAAATAAATAATTTCCTTAAAAAATTGCCTGCAAAACTGTTTTACTGGAGTAAAACAGTGCTCTGAAGTACTGCTTTTTATCCAACACCAGATAGCTGGATAACAATAAAGTCAGTTAGAAGCTGAGAAAATAACAGGCATCCTAGAAACCTGGCACCAAAATTCCTGCCCCCAGCCTACTCTCTTGCCTATTGAATCATCGCCCAGCAGCTCCTGAGCAAGTCATACATGGCTTTTTCAAGACATGTGAAGGTGCCAATGCGGACTAGGCTGGTGTGAAGCTCATGCTGGTGTGAAGCTCAGTATCTAGCATGGTTGTCTGAAGGATTTGCTACAGAGGCACTTGCTCTTCGCAGACAAACTGGTTTCCTGTTTTGATTCTTTTTTTCAGGAGGAATTGAACACTGAAACTCTCTCCCTGCTCAGCTTTGTGACAACATGACAGAGAACTGTGATACTTAAGAGCCCCTTCCCTGCAAAAAAAGAAGCTTATTTTCCAAATATAGGCTACTGTCAATGGGAGAGAGCATGAACTTTGGAGATTATTTTATACTCTTCACAGGTTACCATTCAAAGCCATTTCAAGACTTTGGCCACCTCCTTGCTGTCCCACAACCCAAACCTACATGTTGCTCATCCTCCTGTCTCCTTCCTGCCCTCCTTCTCCCATTGCCCCTGTGGATGTGCAGCTCTGCTACCCAGCAGCAGACATTTGCAAGGCTCAGGAACCTCTTCTTCCGCCTGCTCTCACCTCCACGCCTGCCCCTTGCTATGGAATTCATGGCTCTCTGCCCTCTTGCTGCCTTTCATTAACAAATTTAGCCTAAAAAAAGGGAAGCAGCTGATGCCAGTGGTCACAGAGGGTGAGGTTTGCCACAGTGAAGAGTAAAACAGCCTCAAAACAGAGAAGTCTTAAGGGCCCTCAGACCTTATTCTGGTGCAACCACCTAAGTATTTTGCCTTTGTATACCTGGACTTCAAGGAAAAGAGGAAAATTATTATAGTTTTGGCACACATTACCCCACTAGGCTTTCCTGGTGTATATTATGGCCAGCCAGCAGATCAACTAATGCCTCCGTATTCACTGCCAAGACTACCTCCTATAGAAGGCACCTACCTATACAGCTATCTCAGGTGAAGCTGGACTTTTTTACCAATAAACCTCAAAGCACTCCTAAATGTAAATACCAACTAACTAGCATGAATGGTGCCAAGCCTTAGGAGGCCTTATTCCACCTCGTTTTCTCCGTCTATTTTCCCTCTGGCTTGCTTATTCACTCCTTACTTCCAGATCACGCCTCCTTTGTCTCTTCTCCACAAACTCCTCTTTCATTTGTTTGACCCTTGGGATTTCTACCCTTTCCATCAGACTCAAACCCATTTATTTCCTGTAAAAACCTTCAATTTTGCTGACAGCGAACCCTCCTTCCTCTTACTACTTTGAAGTCCCAGGCCTTAACCACATGGATTCCTCCTCGGAGGCCTTGGGAACCGATGTTTTTCTGCTCACACACTCTACTCTGTTACTTCAGACTATTTTTTGTTGATACCTTTCCGGGCTCTGCTGAAAGACAGAGTCCCGCTTTTATAAGAAACTTTATGCAGCTTTCCTACCGCTCTCATCACCCACTGTGCTCCTTCAAACGACCTAATTTCAACAGCAGAAGCCCCTCATAATCTCATGTTACAGCACAACTTCAGCCTGCACCTCCCAACCGCCTGTGCATTCCCTGGCAGATTTGCAGCAGATGGGACATCGCTGATAGAAGGCAATTACAGTCCTGCAGCAGCGCAAACAACTGGAATTACCACTCACAACCCATGCATTACCGAGAAACTGGGCTGGAATCTAAACATATCCCTGCCTCTGTGATGCCGAACTACACTTTAATCTAACAAAAGCAACTGAGCCATTTGGAAGGGAGTGGAGGGGAAAAGCCTCTTAAAAATGATCTCCCAAAACCTCAGAGACTTGTTCCTAAAAGGGCTAGACAAAACATGCTAAGAGCTTTCCATTTGTTGTTTGCAGTCTGCCTAGGATATAATTAGGTTGGAAACATCTTCTTTTGTCTTTCCTGCAACCGCCTTTGTTTTAGCTGGTTTGTCATAAACTCGTCAGCTTTCTCACTCTGTAATGCGTGTGGAAAGATACCCAGGGCATGCTGCTGCCTCAGCTTAGATGAAGTATAGGACATTGCAAATCAGTACATCCTTTTTTATTCCTTTTGGTTCATTATATTTGCAAAAAGGCAATGACACCTTACAGCATTGCACAGAGACAAGTATATTGCTGTCCTCAGTATTCCACCTCCTCTCGTCACATCAGCATCTCCTTCACTGGTTTACTCTTCAACTTGTGCCTACAGCAAAAGCTAGATGTTCACAACGGTCCTTATTTGACTTGGACACAAGAATAATTGACTGTGGAATAGAAAAAGGCAGCGTTTTCCAACTTATAAACGATTCTATAGTAATTTCTACATAGTCTACCCTGCCACACAAAAAGGGATCTCATTTTGCTTGTAGGGCATATAAACTGCCTGGCATTTGTCATGCATGAGGCAAAATTAGTGTGCAGTGAGATGTTAACGGCTAAAGTAATAATGCAAAGCTATTTGTGTGAAAATGGGTAGTCCTTCCTTTCCACTTGCACCACACTGCTAGCCTGGGCCATGGCAACTTGGGCAGTCAACACAACCCACTGCTCCTGAGCAGCTCACGGTGCTGCTCAAGCTGCCTGCAGGGTGGAGCGGCTGGAGCTCTGGAAGGAGCAGGACAGTGAGCATCAGCAACAGCTACAGGTAACAACAGACCATGCTGCGAGCATGCGTCCTGCCTGGGGTTCTATACGCGTGGGGCTCACACATACCAGGATCTTGTGATATATGGGGCCGTGCAGTCAGAGGCAGGCAGGAATAGGTTGCATTCTGGCTAATACTTGTTTTGTTCCCAGTTCATAAAATGTGCTATACCAGACCGGGGTGTTGAAGGCCCATAGGCACCACAAACATTGGCGGGGGCTTAAAGCTTTGGCTAAACCGCACCGCATTATATTACAAAGTGACACGAGATCACAGCACTGCTGCAAAGCTTCGCTGGGCCTTCAAAGGTGCACGGCTCTCAAACAGGTTGGGAAATGTGAACTTTGGTGACACATAGAAACATTTCACAGAAGCTTTCAGCAAGTTGCACAATGAATCCATATGCTGAACAACCGAAAGGGTTAGTTACCAAAGGGGCCTGGTGAAGAGTCACCGGTGCTGGAAGCAGAGTGAAGTAAGGGAGGCAAGACACTATGGAGAGAGACCACAAGGATGGTCAGAGTGGTCCATGCTTCACCCTATATCACCCATGCAGCCCCCACTTGCAGCCCAGCACTTTCCCTCAGTAGGCAGGTAAGGGCAAGGCTAATTTATAGATGCTGTGGAAATCCCACAGGTATTCCAAGGTAGGAAATTCCAATACCCCGCAAACTCAACGGCAAAAACATTTCCATCAGTACATGTATTTAATGACATTCTTTTTGATAGGTTCTCTTTGCAAGAATTCAAGCTGAATTCTTTGCAAGAATTCAAGCTAAATTTTATTCACTGTTTTCACCTGTCATCTTGGGTCAGGAGAAGTATTCTTAATTAACCACCCAGATAGTTGAGTAATTAGGGGTCTCTGCCTCCACACTTGGCCTGACCCATTTGTCCCTCATCACCTGCTTCTCTTCCCCCTGTAGTGCAGGCTGGGCAGAGGCAGAAGTTGATTTGAGGGTTTCTTACACTGTGGGTTGGTCGTGGTGACACCAAAGCAACATAAGAATTAAAACATTGCATGCAAGACCTCAGGAACAGGCAGAGGAGGAAAAAGAAAAAAAAAAGCTCCGACTTCTGCACGCCGCTGAAATGAAGTGTATGTAAGTGCAAAGAGAGGCTTGCACGCACATGAGAGCAGTTTAAAGTGGCAATGAGAGACTACTCTGCTAGCAACAGCACCCAGCTGGGCCTTCAACATCTCCCGCGGACACAGGTCTCACATAGCCCTCGGAAAGGCTCATACGTGCAGACCGAACAGTCTCTAGACCCATGCACAACGCTTACCAGTGACAGGTAACTGCTCACGGGAATGATAAATTAGCAATACCAATAATAGGACGTAACTGTAGCATATGAAGTCACCTGCAACTTTATCCCTCTGGTTTCTAACCTGTGGTAGCTGTGCATTCTGGTGTAATGGAGGGGTCAATATCAGCATGGGGTGTGCATGAGCTGGTTGCAGGGAGCAAAGGGAATGCAATTGTGCAGGGCAGTGCTTGAATGAAAGCAGGACTTCATAAGTGCCTTCCTAGTATTTCTTTCACAAAAGACAATTCTCCTTCCAAAAGTTGGAAATACAGTTTCCATTGGTGTCACTTTTCTCTGGGTTTCATTAAGTGGCATTTTCATGTCTAAAAGTGGCTTCACTGAATGCTAGTGCTGTA